TGATTGCTTATTTGTACCCTATGAGTATCATTAAGTGTTGCACCTTAGGATTCTTGGTGAATGTTATCTTTTCTTTGTGTACCCTGACAGCATATGCACCAAAACAAATTCCTTGTGTGTCTAATCACACTTGGCCAATAAAGAATTGAATTCTATTCTATTCTATTCTATTCTATTCTATTCTATTCTATTCTATTCTATTCTATTCTATTCTATTCTATTCTATTCCTGTATCACTGTAACCTTGTTGCTGTATCCTTACGATTTTTTTTAAAAAAATTGATTTATATGCCGCCCTTCTCCGGAGACTCAGGGCGGCTTACAATGCGTTAAGCAATAGCCTTCATACTTTTGTATATTTATACAAAGTCAGCTTATTGCACCCACAAACTGGGTCCTCAATTTACCTACCTTAGAAAGGATGGAAGGCTGAGTCAACCTTGAGCCTTGGCAAGATTCAAACTTACTTTAATTGCAGACAGCTGGTGTTAAATTACAGTGCTCTGTCTGTTGAGCTATCCAGGCTCCTTTTATATTGATTTATATTGATATTGTTTCCTGATTGCTTATTTGTAACCTATGACTATCATTAAGTGTTGTACCTTATGATTCTTGATGAGCATATCTAAGAAGGAAGAAGAAAATAAATAAATAAATAAATAAATAAATAAATAAATAAATAATTGTGGGGGTAGTATAGGAGGGAGCACTACATATCCCATCCTGAGCTCCTGAATAAAAAGCAGATAAATAAATCAATAATGGAGAAAACTGTGGCCTCAATCAAGTTTAGGAGAAGAAGAAAGGAAGGAAGGAAGGAAGGAAGGAAGGAAGGAAGGAAGGAAGGAAGGAAAGAAAGAAAGAAAGAGAAAGAAAGAAAGAAAGAAAGAAAAAAGAAAGAAAGAAAGAAAGAAAGAAAGAAAGAAAGAAAGAAAGAAAGAAAGAAAGAAAGAAAGAAAGAAAGAAATTATTGGGGGAGTATAGGAGGGAACACTACATATCCCATCCTGAGCTCCTGAATAAAAAGCAGATAAATAAATCAATAACGGAGAAAACTGTGGCCTCAATCAAGTTTAGGAGAAGAAGAAAGGAAGGAAGGAAGGAAGGAAGGAAGGAAAGAAGGAAAGAAAGAAAGAAAGAAAGAAAGAAAGAAAGAAAGAAAGAAAGAAAGAAATTATTGGGGGAGTATAGGAGGGAACACTACATATCCCATCCTGAGCTCCTGAATAAAAAGCAGATAAATAAATCAATAATGGGGGAAACTGTGGCCTCAATCAAGTTTAGGAGAAGAAAAAGGAAGGAAGGAAGGAAGGAAGGAAGGAAAGGAAGGAAGGAAGGAAGGAAGAGAGAGGAAAAAAGAAAGAAGGAAGGAAGAAAAATGAATGAAAGAAAGAAAGAAAGAAAGAAAGAAAGAAAGAAAGAAAGAAAGAAAAAGAAACAACAGCTATCTGAGTGACTTTTTCCTGCTCTTTGAGCACTAGGAGGAAAGCAATGGCAAGCTACTTCTGAACTCTTTTCAAGAAAATTGCAGTGATTAATCCAAGGAAGTTTCCAAGAGCCAGCATTAATTCAAAAGTCTGTGCACATACACACACACACGCTTATTATTATTTTATTCTTTTAAACCAGACTGAAAAACACGATGCTCTCTGGACTGAATTGACAGCTCCCATACATTAAACGTGTCTCTTTCAAGCATAAGCTGCTGGTTCCATCGTGCCCTCGGAAACTTTCCACTGGCATTTAAAATTGAATTTGGAACATTTAAAAAAAAAAAAATTAAAAAGGGCTCCAGTCTCTCTAATCATGGAAATTTAAATTGGGGATTGTTTAAACCCCAGAGTCAAGCATCCTTAGAGAGTGGGGGGAAAGCAAATGAAATCCACATTTCATAAACATGCATGTTGGAATGACAAAAGCAGATATTTGAAAAAAGGGCTCTAGGTCCTTTGGAGAGGACTCGACAAGCAGTTTGTATCTTCTGCTGAAAGTTGAGTGTGTTCTGGTTTTGGTTTTTCCCTTAAATCACCATTGGAAGTACTGTATCCTTCTGTGAAATACCCGGACACCTCAAACAGACCGTTGGCAAAAAGGGAGTATAAATTCAATCATGGTACAGGTAATCTGTGATTTACTGAAATAACAGAATAACAGAGTTGGAAGGGACCTTGGAGGTCTTCTAGTCCAACCCCCTGCTTAGGCAGGAAACCCTACACCACTTCAGACAAATGGTTATCCAACCTCTTCTTAAAATCTTCCAGTGTTGGAGCATTCACAGCTTCTGGAGGCAAGTTGTTCCACCGATTAATTGTTCTCACTGTCAGGAAATTTCTCCTTAGTTCTAAGTTGCTTCTCTCCTTGATGAGTTTCCACCCATTGCTTCTTGTCCTGCCCTCAGGTGCTTTGGAGAATAGCTTGACTCCCTCTTCTTTGTGGCAGCCCCTGAGTTATTGGAAGACTGCTCTCATGTCTCCCCTAGTCCTTCTTTTCATTTTTTTTTAAAAATTTGATTTATATGCCGCCCTTCTCCGGAGACTCAGGGAGGCTTACAATGTGCTAAGCAATAGCCTTCATCCTTTTGTATATTTTATACAAAGTCAGCTTATTGCCCCCACAACTGGGTCCTCAATTTACCTACCTTAGAAAGGATGGAAGGCTGAGTCAACCTTGAGCCTTGGCAAGATTCGAACCTGCAGTAATTGCAGGCAGCTGTCTTAATAACCAGCTTAATAACAGGGTGCCTTAGACCACTGTACTACCAAGGCTCTTCATTAAACTAGACATACCGGATATAACCGGCTGAATACCACGACTGATCTAAATGTCCTAATACATCACCACTTCAGTATGAGCCAGCAGTGGTGCTGCAGCTGCCAAAAATGCCAATGCAATCCTAGGCTGCCTCAACAGAGGGATAGAACCAAGATCCCCAGAAGTGATAATACTGTTTTATATCACATTAGTGAGTTCACACTTGGAATACTGCATCCAGTTCTGGTCACCACAATATAAGAAGGATGTTGATACTCTAGAAAGAGTGCAAAGAAGAGCAACAGGAACGATTAGGAGTCTGGAGGCTAAAGGATATGATGAAAGGTTGCAGGTACTGGGAATGCCTAGTCCAGGGGTGTCAAACTCGATTTCATTGAGGGCTGCATCAGGGGCCCAGAGTGGGCGTGGCCAGGTGGGCGTGGCCAGCTCAACGTCACGCGTGTCGGGAGCCCCTGTGGAGGCCTGAGCGTTCTGCCAGCGAAAACGGACTTCCGAGTTCTGTTTTCAGCTGCGACGGCCTCCTGCAACCCTCTGCCAATGAAAATGGAGTTGGGAGTGCTGCCTGCGGCCCTCGTGAGCTCCATTTTTGCTGGCAGAGGCACCACGCGCCAGTCCTTTGCTGTTTCCAGGGTGTCCCTGCCGGCCAGATCTAAGCACCCCATAGTGATGCATCTGGCCCCTGTGCCTTGAGTTTGACACCCCTCGTCTAGTCTAACAAAGAGAAGGACTGACGTCTTAGCAGTCTTCCAATATTTGAAGGGCTGTCACAGCGTCAACCTATTCTCCAAAGCACCTGAGGCAGGGGTGAAATGCTCCCGGTTCGGACTGGATTGCCCGATCTGGTAGCGATGGAGGCGGATGGTTCGGAGAACCGGTAGCAAAAATCCCTGCTCCCCCCCGCATTGCCCAGCTGAACCGCACAATCATCAGAGGTTTTTTTTTAACTTTTAAAAGCATTTTTTCTACAACCTCTTCAGTCGAAAAAATGCTTTTATAAGTAAAAAAAAAAAGCCTCTGATGATTGCACGGCTCAGCTGGGATCGTCAAAGGCTTTTAAAAGAAAAAAAACCTTTTTTTTCTTTTAAATGCCTCTGACGATCCAAGCTGAGTTGCCTGATCGGCAGAGGCTTTTTAAAAAACTCAGTTTGGATTGTCGGAGGCATTTAAAAGAAAAAAACCTTTTTTTTCTTTTAAATGCCTCTGACGATCCAAGCTGAGTTGCCTGATCGGCTGCTGGGATCGTCAGAGCCTTTTGAAAGCATTTTTTTTACAACCTCTTCGCCGAAGAGGTTGTAGAAAAAATGGTTGTTTTAAAAGTAAAAAAAAAAAAAAAGGCCACGCCCACCCAGTCACATTACTCCCCCCCCACACCAAGCCATGCCCACAGAACCGGTAGTAACAAATTTTAGATTTCACCACTGACCCGAGGGCAAAACAGGTGGAAATTTATCAAGGAGAGATCCAACCTAGAACTAGAACCAACCTAGAAATTTCCTGACAGTTAGAGAACAATTAACCAATAGAACGACTTGCTTCCAGAAGTTGTGGGTGCTTCATCACTGGAGGTTTTTAAGAAGAATCTGGAAGCCATTTGTCCAGAACAGCCTAGAGCAGTGATGGCTAATCTTTTTGCTGTCGCATGCCAAAAGCGGGGGGAGCGTGAGGGGTCACAGGTGCTCACATCCATAATTCAATACGCCCCACCCTCCCGCGCATGCACACGTGAGCCCCCCCACACTTTCCCCTGCTTTTGGCACGTGATGGCCCAGTGGGCCCGGTAGGCCCGTTTTTCTCCCTCCCCAGGCTCCAGAGGCTTTCTAGGAGCCTGGGGAGGGCAAAAACAGCCTTCCCCATCCCCCCGGAGGCCTTCTGGAGGCCAGAAACAGCTAGTTTCCCAACTTCCGGTGGGACCGGAAGGCCTGAAAATCAGTGGGCCAGTGCGCGCATGCGCACTGGAGCTGAGCTAGGGCAACACTCGCGTGCCCACCAATATGGCTCCGCGTGCCACCTGTGGCACTCGTGCTATAGATTCGCCATCACGGGCCTAGAGCCTTCTGTTTGGGCAGGGGGTTGGACTAGAAGACCTCCAAGGTCCCTTCCAACATCCTTATTCTGTAAATGTAAGTTCTGGTATTTTTATTTCAAAACCCCATACTTCTCCCAAAAGTGATAATACTAACTACTACTACTATGCCTCCTCTCTACAGCAAAAGGAAGATATTCTCAAGAACAATCCCAAAGGTTTACTACCGAACACTGAGATAAGAAGATTGCCGTGCAATGAAATCATTGTTAGCCTAGAAAGACCTGAAGATAACAGGAGGCCCCATGCTAGGCTCGAAAACCTTCTCCGAGGAGGCGACCTGTCAACAAAGGCAAAGTTGTGTCTTAGCTATCCAAGGTCTTTGGCGCTAAGCATCACACGTGACTTGGATGGAGCCGGAGGAAAGCAAGACAGCAAGAAACTGTTTTGAAATTTCATCGTAGAAGACCGAAGATAAGGCTGGATGGTAGACTTCTTGGAGAAAGGGTGGGCAGATAACAGTTGAAACTGCTGGAGCAGGTTATCAAAACAAACATCACGGGAGGCAGGAAGGCGACGAGATCACAGGAGGTTGTTGATGTTGGGGAAAGAAGGTGGGACGGAGAGTTCTTGGCAACGAAACCACAAAAACCTTGTTTTGCCTTGTTCGTCGGGGACAAGATAGAATAGAGTTTGAGAAATGGTAGAAGGACGGACAGAGTTATTGTTTTGGTAACCTTGGTGCTTTGCTCCTTGTCTTTATCCTGAAATTCAGATCATTGAGATCCTAAAGTTGTGCATTGGTGAAGTTTTGCTTGTGGTGGAGAAAAATAAGACAAAATGGAGACCAAGCCCTCCATACTGCATTCTGTTTTGGTCGCCACGATGTAAAAAAAAAGATATGGAGACTCTAGAAAGAGTGCAGAGAAGAGCAACAAAGAGGATTAGGGGACTGGAGGCTAAAACATATGAAGAACGGTTGCAGGAACTAGGTATGTCTAGTTTAATGAAAAGAAGGAAGAGGGGAGACATGATAGCAGTCTTTCGATATCTCAGGGGCTGCCACAAAGAAGAGGGAGTCAAGCTATTCTCCAAAGCACCTGAGGGCAGGGCAAGAAGCAATGGGTGGAAACTAATCAAGGAAAAAAGCAACTTAGAACTAAGGAGGAATTTCCTGACAGTGAGAACAATTAATCAGTGGAAGAACTTGCCTCCAGAAGTTGTGAATGCTCCAACAATGGAAGTTTTTAAGAAGAGGTTGGATAACCATTTGTCTGAAGTGGTGTAGGGTTTCCTGCCTAAGCAGGGGGTTGGACTAGAAGACCTCCAAGGTCCCTTCCAACTCTGTTATTCTGTTATTTCAGTAAATCACAGATTACCTGTACCATGATTGAATTTATACTCCCTTTTTGCCAACGGTCTGTTTGAGGGGTCCGGGTATTTCACAGAAGGATACAGTACTTCCAAGAGAAATATATACTATATAAGATAGGTGTGGTCGGATAGACCTAAGTGATGCATTAAGAGATATAAGATATTCTGCCTTCTCCGGAATATAATTTAGAGTTATAGTACTGAATACGTGTTTACTAGGGTACTATATGGAAGTTTGTATATTTATTGTTGTTTTGTTATGTTTGTCATTTTATGTTGTTTGTCCTTTCTTTTTAAATGAAATGTAAATAAAGATTATTTTTTTTTAAAAAAATGAAATGGTGTAGGGTTTCCTGCCTAAGCAGGGGGTTGGACTAGAAGACCTCCAAGGTCCCTTCCAACTCTGTTATTCTGTTCTGTTCTGTTCTGTTCTGTTCTACCCTACCCACCCTACCCTACCCTACCCTACCCTATTCAATTCTATTCTAAATTATCTTCTCCCCTGTCTTTTGGACATGAGCAGAGTCAACCAGAGTCATCTCTACGTCCAAGCCTATCAGACCCAAATTGACCTCCCTGGCCCAGTCAAAGTCCATCTGATTCAAAGAGGAGCCCCCTCACCTGCTCACAATACAGCTCAAGGAGAGAACTGCAACCTTGTAGAAAGGTGAGGAACCCCAACGTTCCATCCTCAATGACGGACACGCCCACCATTGTCTCAACGTTCCATCCCCTTTAGCAATGGGGGGATCTCTAAAAGGGATGTTTTGTCTAACAACAGAAGAACCCCCAGATATGTTGACAAGGACCTGCCTCTCTGCCCCAAACTGGCCATCCAATCAGATGCCTAGGATTTATGACCCTGGAACCCTCAATGTTTATAACAGGAGTGACTGCGAATCTCCATAGACATTTACAGCGGAAAGCACATACAAGGCTTAGTTTGGCATGTTTTCTGGATTGGTACAGCATGCTAGATTAAGGTTGGTAGTTGTGTGAATCAGACCATCACATTAAGGCACACTACAATCCATTCGTTGTTTTGTGAACCTGAATGGAATGAATTCTCTTTAAAATGGGGCAGAGCGGAACTCGAATATTGGATTACTAAAGGCTACTATTAGCTTTTATACAACATGTCGCCACATGATGGCAGCACAGCATCGGAAGTGACTTGGAGTCTACCCTAGAAATGGAAGCATCATTGAAACCCAACAGTTGGGTTACAGCTAATTGCGTTGTTTTCCCTTCCTGAGAAAAGCGATTAGCCTTTTTCTTTTAATAATTATAGGAACACAATGGTATCCCGGCCTCTTTGGCTGTACCTCCAGGGCACAGGGAGAATATAGCATTCGAGCATACCACAGAAATTGCAGTTGCTAATTTAATGGCCTACAAAATAACTCCCTGCAAGATGATGACTGAATTATTCTCTACTAACTACGGCACTTTCCTTCCTTATGAGGTTCTAAGGTTATATTTCCTCCACCTACTCATCTATTTACCCCCCAAATTGGAAAAATATGTAATTTTTTTTTTTTTTTTTGGTAACAGAATACAGCTGGGGGGATCCAACCTTGGCAACTTTAAGAATTGTGGACTTCAACTGCCAGAATTCCCCATGTTGGCTGGGGAATTTTGGGAGTTCATTTCATTTTCATTTTTATTTGATTTATATACCGCCCTACTCCTGAAGGACTCAGGACGGTGAACAGGCACAAGATAAAACACATAGAATACAAAAATTTAAGAGCAGAAGTAAAATCGAATTAAATCAATTTAGCCCAAGACAAATTTAAAACCCCAGGTTAAGAACAAAGTAAAATTTACATTAAAAAGAGAATGGGAGAGGTTAGGCTAGACCAGCCTGGTGAAATAAAAAGGTCTTGAGAGCGCGGCGGAAGGTGCGTAGATCCAGGATCCTCCGTATCTCTGGGGGGAGCTCGTTCCAGATAGTAGGTGCCCCCACAGAGAAGGCTCTCCCCCTGGGGGCCGCCAGCCGACATTGTTTGGCCGACGGCACCCGGAGGAGTCCCTCTCTGTGAGAGCGTACCGGTTGGTGGGAGGCCATTTGCGGCAGCAGGCGGTCCCGTAAATAACCAGGCCCTAAGCCTGGTTATTTTAGTTAAAGTCCACAAGTGTTAAACTTGCCAAGTTTGGACACCCCTGCTATACAGCATGGGTACCAGCATTGAAATCCAGCTGGATCTATCCGGCTCGTGCGATCCGGTAAGGCTGGAGGCGGGAGGCTCCACCCACCCACCCGGATGTCATCACGTCCTGTTTTTGACCCTCTGCTAATGCTTTGCAGAAGGCTCTGCGCATACACAGAAGAGGTGCGCGCACTCACATTTCCGATCCGGTAGCAAAGGTAAGTGCATTTTACTCCTGATGGGTACATTTCTATTATATATTCGGCAATGTCAGGAAATTTCTGCTTAGAATGTCCCTGCGCCCTACAAATGCACTCCCAATCCATTTCTCAAAAATGCCTGTTCTTTCACAGTTGTTAAGTGAATCACCCCCAGTTGTTAAATTAGTAACACGGTTGTTAAGTGAATCTGGCTTCCCCATTGACTTTCCTCGTCAGAAGATCGCAAAAGGTGAATTATAGTATATGACCCCGGGATGCTGCAACCGTCATAAATACGAATCGGTTGCCAAGTGTCTAAATTTTGATCATGTGACTCTGGGGATGCTCCAATGGTCGTAAGTGTGAAAAGCAGTCCTAAGTCACTTTTTTTCAGAGCTGCTGTAATTTCGAATGGTCACTAAATGAACTGTTGTAAGTCGAGAACTATATTTGTTTTTCAAATCACATCCACGTGGCCTTGTCTTAAGAGGGGGCCGATATGGTTCAAAGGTGCACCAGGCCTCTTTCGAAAGGACTAACACAGAGGTGGTATTCAGCCGGTTCGTACCGGTTTCAGCGAACCGGTAGAATCTTGGTAGTTCAGTGGTCTAAAGCACCCTGTTATTAAGACCAGCTGCCTGTAATTACTGCAGGTTCGAATCTCGCCAAGGCTCAAGGTTGACTCAGCCTTCCATCCTTTCTAAGGTAGGTAAATTGAGGACCCAGATTGTGGGGGCAATAAGATGACTTTGTATAAATATACAAAAGAATGAAGGCTATTGCTTAGCGCATTGTAAGCCGCCCTGAGTCTCCGGAGAAGGGTGGCATATAAATCAAATTAAAAAAAAAAAATCACGGGTGGGCCCGCCCACCAGCCCCAGCCTGCCCACCAGCCCCAGCCTGCCCACCAGCCCTGGCTCTATGCCATCCTATTTAGGCATGATTTTGAGGCCGGCCGGGTTCATGCACGGAAGGCACGCGAGCTAGCAAAGTGCACACATGTGCATGCGGGGTGAACCATGGTAAAAATATTGGAAACTCACTGCTGTACTAACAGCCAACATTGGCAATATTAGGCCAAATGAAAGAATGTTCTGATTTTTGATAAGACAATTTCCTCCCCCCCCCCACATGATATTTGAAGCTCTAACACTGGGTGGCGCTGAATTCTTGGAAATGCTTGTCTTTTTCTGTTCTGCACTTGTAGCAGTAGATTTTCCAGCCTTGATCTTTTATAATTTCTTCTTCTTCTTCTTTTTTTTTTTAAAAAAAGCAAATCCAGAAAAAGAAATAAGGAAGGGAAAGGAAGCTAGAAATGTGGAAGAGGAACATAACAACCTGAGTGCTCCTTCTAACACGATTGATATTATATTATAATCCTACAAATGGCATTATCATATCAAGTCCTATATTTATAGAGTTGCTGAAATGGGAAATAAAAAGGGCAGGACTCCGTTTCAAGATGATTGTTTCCTAGAATGTATATATACTAGTTTATATTTAAGGCTGTGGAGAGATGCCAGGGTCCTTAACAAAGCAAAGATGAAATATGATAAAACTTGATAGATAAAAGATAAAAAAAATATAGATACAACTTGTGTTCTTGATTAACTATACCTAATAGTTAAGTTTCCGGAGAAAGGCGGCATTGAACTAAATAAATAAATAAAATAAATAGCACTGGATTTTTCAATCTTAAATAGATTTCACAGCACTAAGGGGACCTTTATGCACAAATACACACAAAAGACACACACACACACACAAAAGAATACCTTGATTCTCAGCCAACACAAAGCAAACATTTGGGCAGTGGGCACATTGGAAAATTCAGGTTCAACACAACCGGATTTGCAAGATTTGGTTATTAGAATCAAACTCAATAAAAGCAGTGTTAATCTTCCCTTGGAATTGATTTTTGGGTCAGAATCAGAATAGAGCTGGAAGGAACTCTGGTTGTCCTCACTGTTAGGAACTTTCTCCTTAATTCCAGATTGCTGGTCTACCTAATGGGGTTGGTTGTAAGATGTTGAAGATCAGAGCCATATGTGAAGGTATAGTTAAATTGATTTATTGTTAAAGTAAGTTTGTCCATTTCTGCACATTCGAAAATTTTCCGGATTATTGCACAGTCTGTTGGAATAGTGGACATTTTCCAAGCTTGCGCAAGTACGATTCTAGCTTACTTTAGAATTAAATAATAAGGAAGACTCGGAATATTACTTAACTTGGGGTAATTGGTATCAATGGATAGAAATTAAAAATAAGGAATGTATAGATCAAAATAAGATATAAAATGTGATTAAATATGTCGATTAAGTAGGAATATGTGGGAATAGATGAAGAAAGTTAAGAATTAAGTACTGTCAGAAAGACGTTGAATTGTATAATTATTACGGATGTATTTTTGTTATAGAGGTATTTTAACTTGTATTTTCGGATTTTAAGTGTTAATAAAGGTTTTTTTTAAAAAAATAAAAATAAATTGATTTATTGTTGCTCGTGTCTATGCACATAACTAACAGTTATTTATATGTTAGTTTATGTATTTAGTTTCTACAGCCACCCATCTCAATCAATTACTCTGGGTGGCTTACAGGTTAAAAAAAATTACAGTGGAACATGCTAAAAACATTTTAAAACAATAACAACACTAAAACATCAGATTAAACATACATAGGAGCAGATTAGCACCTGCCTGGAATTAGATAAGGATCAATCAAATTTATGTGGGGTTGGATTTAGTTCGCTTGTGGCTATGTACAGATTCGAGGCTGATTTCCCTTCTGACTCCGTCCCCAGGTTCCCTCACTCTTTCTCCTACACCTGAGTATTCACAAGGACGTTTTACAAGTAAAGGAGATGGAAGAGATTCCATTCCATTCAGTTATTTAATTCAATTAAAAATATACCGTATTTTTCAGACTATAAGACGCACCAAGATTTCGAAGAAGTAAACCAGGAAAAAAAAAAGTTTTTGCCCTCCCCAGCCCCCAGGAACACTCTGCAGGACCTCCCAAACCCTCTGTGTATCCCGCTTTTGTGAAAAACAGGCCCATTTTTCCACAAAAACGGGCCCTGCAGAAGGTTTGGGAGGTCTGCAGAGTGCTCCTGGGGGCTGGGGAGGGCAAAAATGTGACACATGGGGAGGGTTGGGAAGCCAAAAACGGGCCCATTTTTCATGAAAATGGGACACGCAGTGTTTGGGAGGCCTACAGAGTGCTCCTGAGGGCTGGGGAGGGCAAAAACACCCCCATTTTTTGCAAAAAATGGGCCTGTTTTGGGCCTCCCAAAACCCCCATGCATCATGTTTTTGCCCCCCCCCTCCAGCCCCCAGGAGCACTCTGCAGGCCTCCCAAACCCTCTGCAGGCCCCATTTTTGTGAAAAATGTGCCTGTTTTTGGTAAAAACAGGATGCACGGGGTGGGGTTTCCATCCGTTGCTTCTTGTCTTGCCCTCAGGTGCTTTGGAGAATAGCTTGGCTCCCTCTTCTTTGTGGCAGCTCCTGACATATTGGAACCCTGCTATCATGTCACCCCTAGTCCTTCTTTTCCATTAAACTAAAGGTAAAGGTTCCCCTCGCACATATGTGCTAGTCGTTCCCACCTCTAGGGGGCAGTGCTCATCTCTGTTTTTTTTTAAATTTGATTTATATGCCGCCCTTCTCCGGAGACTCAGGGCGGCTTACAATGTGCTAAGCAATAGCCTTCATCCTTTTGTATATTTATACAAAGTCAGCTTATTGCCCCCACAACTGGGTCCTCAAAGCCGAAGAGCCAGCGCTGTCCGAAGATGTCTCTGTGGTCATGTGCCCGGGATGACTAAATGCCAAAGGCGCCCGGAATGCTGTTACCTTCCCACCAAAGGTGGTCCCTATTTTTCTACTTGCATTTTTTACGTGCTTTCAAACTGCTAGGTTGGCAGAAGCTGAGACAAGTCACGGGAGCTCACCCCGTTATGCGGCACTAGGGATTCGAACTGCTGAACTGCCGACCTTTCGATCGACAAGCTCATCGTCTTAGCCACTGAGCCACCGCGTCCCTTACTTCATTAAACTGTACATACCCAATTCCAGCAACCGTTCTTTATATGTTTTAGCCTCCAGTCCTCTAATCATCTTGGTTGCTCTTCTCTGCATAACCGAGATAAGTAAAGAACCTTGGAGAGAAAACCTGAGTTCCGGGTAACTTTGACTTCGTGCCAATCCCATAATTGCGGCAGTTGGTGCCCGGTTGCCGAAGCCGCACGGGGGGCACAGGTGAGGGTCCTTTTGTCTCGATCTTTTGGCTGAACCCCAGGGCTCGCTCTGAACTCTGCTGCCATTGAGCAGTGACCTTCCCGTGACCGAGGCACCTCGGAGCAGCCGGCGTAAGTGATTAGATTTCCACTGAAATGTTGTTGACACAAACTGTAGCTTCCTTTTCAGGGAAGTTCAAGAGTAAGGACTTCAAGGCCATGTCGCTTGAAAGCCGAAGAAAAGAGAACAAGCTAATTGTGATGATAAGGATCTTTTGCATGCAAACCAAACCTTTAGCTAATAATACTAAATGCTCACAAAAGGGAACCTCTGGCCATTTACGGGTAATAAAGTATTAATTAGAATCATGTCATAAACTACCTTTGACCTTTCAGCCGGAGACAAAAGCCATCCTTCGCTGTCTTTGTCATCTCCCTTGCGATGCCAGCATTGTCAAACGTTGGCTACAGGTGAGTCACGTCTTCCTCTCTGGTAAGGGAAAGGAGAAACCCCCGTAACTTGAGGACGTTCGCCAACTTCAAAGCTAATTAGCTTCAAATTAAATTTTCCACTCGGCCAGAGCGCGCACAATAAGATCTCAAAGACACAGGAGGCTTTTTACAAAAGGCAAAGCACAGGGGAGATGGGAGAAAAAAAAGGAGCAGGCATTTAATATGTGTCTAGGAGGGCTGATTGCAGGGAGGAGGAGGAGGGTGTGGGGGACACACGAAATATAGCTGTCAATGGAGCAGAGCTGACTTCACCCAGCTTCCTCTCCCGAGTTCCTTCTAACGGACAGTTAGAAGAAGAGTTGTAGGAAGCGCTCCGCTGAGGGGGGCTGACCTGATGGAGAAGATTGCATACATTGCAAAAAAATAAAATAAAATAAAATAAATGAAATGAAATACAATTTCCACTCTCCCTCCAAACCTCCGACCAGTACGCTCCCATAGAGAGGGGCTCCTCCGGGTGCCGTCGGCCAAACAATGTCGACTGGCGGCCCCCAGGGGGAGAGCCTTCTCTGTGGGGGCACCTACTATCTGGAACGAGCTCTCCCCAGAGATACGGAGGATCCAGGATCTGCGTACCTTCCGTCGCACGCTTAAGACGTTCCTATTTCATCAAGCTGGTCTGACCTAAATTTTCCTCTTTTAAATGGGAATTTTAAATTTGGTTTTAAATTATTGGGGTTTTAAAATGGTTCAGCCAAATTTATTTAATTTCTTTTATCTCTATTTTAAATTTTGTATCTATATATTTTATTTTATGGCTGTTCACCGCCCTGAGTCCTTCGGGAGTAGGGCGGTATACAAATTTAATAAATAAATAAATAAAATACCTGAATACCGTTCTTTTCATTACATTACCGAACTAGGTAACATCACCAGTGCCAAGTTAAATGACAGAATGGAATAGAATAACAGAGTTGGAAGGGACCTTGGAGGTCTTCTAGTCCAACCCCCTGCTTAGGCAGGAAACCCTACACCACTTCAGACAAATGGTTATTCAACGTCTTCTTAAAAACTTCCAGTGTTGGAGAATTCACAACTTCTGGAGGCAAATTGTTCCACTGATTAATTGTTCTAACTGTCAGGAAATTTCTCCTTAGTTCTAGGTTGCTTCTCTCCTTGATTAGTTTCCATCCTTTGCTTCTTGTCCTGCCTTCAGGTGCTTTGGAGAATAGCTTGACTCCCTCTTTTTTGTGGCAGCCCCCGAGATATTGGAACACTGCTATCATGTCTCCCCTGGTCCTTCTTTTCATTAAACTAGACATACCCAGTTCCTGCAACCGTTCTTCATATGTTTTAGCCTCCAGTCCCCTAATCACCTTTGTTGCTCTTCTCCGCATTATTTATAGAGTTTCAACATCTTGTTTACATCATAGCAACCAAAACTGGATGCAGTATTCCAAGTGTGGCCTTCCCAAGGCATTATAAAGCGGTATTAACACTTCACGTGATCTTGATTCTATCCCTCTGTTTATGCAGCCTAGAATTAGACAAACGAAACACGGTTAATATTAACCCACATTAGCAAGATGTGTTAACGCAGGTTCAAGCTTTCGAATGCCACTTCCTTGACTCTGTCGGATGAGGACAAATGAAGACTATGATGTGAGTCAAATTGCAAATGGAAGTGATCAAGAGAACTCTTTCCCCCACGTCTTAAACTCAGCCAGACTACAGCTGACAGAATTCCAAGCCAGTATGGTTAGTCACAATGC